ATGAAAATGAGATCATTTTCGAATAGATCTCATAAAGATTTCATTCAGAAATGAATGATGATTATGACAAAAACATGCAAATTCTCTTTTTAATTTCATGAAAATCATATCATTTTCGAATAGATCTCATGAAGATTTCATTCAAAAATGAATGATGATCTTAAAAAAACATGAAATTCTTTTTTTAATTTCATGAAAAAAAGATCATTTTCGAATAGAGCTAAAGAATATTTCATTCAAAAATGAATGATGATTATGAAAAAAACATGAAATTCCTTTTTTTAATTTCATGAAAATGAGATCACTTTGGAATAGATCTGAAAAAGATTTCATTCAAAAATGAATGATGATTCTGAAAAAAACATGAAATTCTTTCTTTAATTTCATGAAAATCAGATCATGTTCGAATAAATGTAAGCAAGATTTTATTCAAAAGTGAATGCTGAATATGAAATACCATGAAATTCTTTTTTTAATTTCATGAAAATGGGATCATTTTCGAATAGATCTCACCAATGTATCATTCAAATATGAATCATGATTATGAAAAAAACATCAATTTCTTTTTTTAATTTCATGAAAATTAGATCATGTTCGAATAGATCTCATAAGCACGATTTCATTCAAAAATCAATCATGAGTATGAAAAAAAAATCAAATTCGTTCTTTAATTTCATGAAAATAAGATCGTTTTTGAATAGATCTCACCAATATATCATTCAAAAATGAATGATGTTTATGAAAAAAACATGAATTTCTTTTTTTAAATTCATGAAAATGAGACCATTTTCGAATAGATCTCAAAAAGATGTCATTCAAAAATAAATGGTGCTTATGAATAAAACACGAAATCCTTTTTCTAATTTCATGAAAATGGGATCGTTTTCGAATACATCTCATCAAGATTTCATTCAACAATGAATGATGATTATGAAAAAAACGTAAAATTCTTCTTTTAATTTCATGAAAATGGGATCGTTTTCGAATAGATCTAAAGAAGATTTCATTCAAAAATGAATCATAATAATGAAAAAAACATGAAATTCTTTTTTTAATTTCATGAAAATGAGATCATTTTCGAATCGATCTCACCAACAAATCATTCAAAAACGAATGGTGATTATGAAAAAAGCATGAAATTCTGTTTTGGAACTTCATGAAAATCAGATCATTTTCGAATACATCTAAGCAAGATTTCATTCAAAAATGAATGATGATTATGAAACAAACCTGAAATTCTCTTTCAATTTCATCAAAAAATGAGATCATTTTCGAATAGATCTCATCAAGATTTCATTCAAAAATGAATGATTATGAAAAAAACATGAAATTGGTTTTTTCATTTCATAAAAATGAGATTCTTTTCGGATAGATCTAAAGACGATTTCATTCAGAAATGAATGATGATTATGAAAGAAACAAGAAATCCTGTTTGTAATTTCATGAAAATGAGATCATTTTGGAATAGATCTCATAAAGATTTCATTCAAAAACAAATGATGATTTTGAGAAAAAGATGAATTTTTTTTTTAATTTCATCAAAATGAGATCATTTTTGACTCGCTCTAAGCAAGATTTCATTCAAAAATGAATGAGGATCCTGCAAAAAACATGAAATTCTTTTTTCAATTTCATGAAAATGAGATCATTTTCGACTAGTTCTAAGCAAGATTTCATTCAAAAATGAATGATGATTGTCAAAAAACGTGAAATTCTTTTCTTTGAATTTCGTGAAAATCAGAACATTTTCGAATAGATCTAAGCAAAATTTCATTCAAAAATGAATGATGATTATGAAAAAAACACGAAATTCTCTTTTAATTTCATGAAAATGAGATGATTTTCGAATAGATCTCATCAAGATTTCATTCAAAAATGGATGATGATTACGAAAAAAACAGGAAGTTCGTTTTTTATTTTCGTGAAAATGAGATCGTTTTCGAATAGATCTCACGAATATATCGTTCAAAAATGAATGATGATTATGAAAAAAACAAGAAATTATTTTTTTAATTTCATGAAAATCAGGTCATTTTTGAATAGATCTCATAAAGATTTCGTTCAAAAATGAATGATGGTTATGAAAAAAACGTGAAATTCTTTTTTTAATTTCATGAAAAGGACATGATTTTTGAATAGATCTCATCAAGATTTCATTCACAAATGAATGATGATTATGAAAAACACATGAAACTCTTTTTTTAATTTCATGAAAATGAGATCATTTTCGAATAGTTCTAAAGAAGATTTCATTCAAAAATGAATGATGATTATGAAAAAAACATGAAATTCTTTTTTTAATTTCATGAAAGTGAGGTCATTTTCGAATAGAACTAAGCAAGATTTCATTCAAAAATGAATGATGATTATGAAAAAAACATGAAATTCTTTTTTTAAATTTCATGGAAATGAGATCGTTTTCGAACAGATGTCACGAATACATCGTTCAAAAATGAATGATGATTATGAAAAAAACATGAAATTCTTTTTTTAATTCCATGAAAATCAGATCATTTTGGAATAGATCTAAGCAGGATTTGATTCAAAAATAAATGATGATTATGAAAAAAATATGAAATTCTCTTTTTATTTCATGAAAATGAGATCATTTTCAAATAGATCTCACGAATATATCATTCAAAAATGAATGATGCTTGTGAAAAAAACATGAAATTCTTTTTTTAATTTCATGTAAATGAGGTTATTTTCGAATAGATCTAAGCAAGATTTCATTCAAAAATGAATGATGATTATGAGCAAAACATGAAATTCTTTTTTTGGTTTCATGAAAATGTGATCATTTTCGAATAGATCTCACGAATATAGCGTTCAAAAATGAATGATGATTATGAAAAAAGCAAGAAATTCTTTTTTTAATTTCATGAAAATGACATCATTTTGGAATAGATCTCATAAATATTTCATGCAAAAATGAATGATGATTATGAAAAAAATATGAAATTCTTTTTTAATTTCATGAAAATGAGATCATTTTCGAATAGATCTCACGAATATATCGTTCAAAAATGAATGATGATGATGGAAAAAATATGAAATGCGTTTTTTGAATTTCATGAAAATGAGATTATTTTCGAATAGTTCTAAGCAAGATTTTATTCAAAAATGAATGATGTTTATGAAAAAAACATGAAATGCTTTTTTGAATTTCATGAAAATGAGATCATTTTCGAATACATGTAAGGAAGATTTCATTCAAAAATGAATGATGATTATGAAAAAAACATGAAATTCTTTTTTTAATTTCATGAAAATGAGATCATTTTCGAATAGATGTAAGCAAGATTTCAGTCAAAAATGAATGATGATCATGAAAAAAAGATGAAATTCTTTTTTTAATTTCAGGAAAATCAGATCATGTTCGAATAGATCTCAAAAAGATTTCATTCAAAAATGAATGATGATTATTAAAAAAGCATGAAATTCGTTTTTTAATTTCATGAAAGTGAGATCGTTTTGGAATAGATCTCATAAAGATTGCATTCAAAAATGAATGATAATTATGGAAAGGACATGAAATTCGTTTTTCAATTTCATGAAAATGAGATCGTTTTCGGATAGATCTCACGAATATATCATTCAAAAATGAATGATGCTTGTGAAAAAAACATGAAATTCTTTTTTTAATTTCATGAAAATCAGATCATTTTGGAATAGATCTAAGCAGGATTTGATTCAAAAATAAATGATGATTATGAAAAAAATATGAAATTCTCTTTTTATTTCATGAAAATGAGATCATTTTCAAATAGATCTAAAGAAGATTTCATTCAAAAATGAATGATGATTTTGAGAAAAACATGACATTTTTTTTTTTATTTCATGAAAATAAGATCATTTTGGAATAGATCTAAACAAAATTTCGGTCAAAAATGAATGATGATTATGAAAAGAACAAGAAATTCTTTTTTAATTTCATGAAAATGAGATCATTTTCGAATAGGTCGCACCAATATATCGTTCAAAAATGACTGATGATTATGAAAAAAACATGAAATTGCTTTTTTAGTTTCATGAAAATGAGACCATTTTCGAATAAATCGCAGCAGTATATCATTCGAAAATGAATGATGATTATGAAAAAAACATGATGTTTTTTTTTCAGTTTCATGAAAATGAGATCATTTTCGAATAGATCTAAGCAAGATTTCGTTCAAAAATGAGTGATGATTATGGAAAAAACGTGAAATTCTTTTTTTAATTTCATGAAAATGAGATCATTTTCGAATAGATCTCACCAATGTATCATTCAAAAATGAGTGATGATTATGAAAAAAACATGAAATTGTTTTTTTAGTTTCATGAAAATGAGATCATTTTCGAATAAATCGCAGCAATATATCAGTCAAAAATGAATGATGATTATGAGAAGAATATGAAATTCTTTTTTTAGTTTGATGAAACTGAGATCATTTTCGAATAGATCTCATCAAGATTTCATTCTAAAATGAATGATGATTGTGAAAAAAACATGAAATCCTTTTTTTAATTTCATGAAAATGAGATCATTTTCGAATAGGTCTCATCAAGATTTTATTCAAAAATGAAGGTTGATTATGAAAAAAACTTGAAATTCTTTTTTTAATTTCATGAGAATGTGATCGTTTCGGGATATGCTTTACGATCATTGGGAAGTTCTGCGGTGTTGTGTGTTGTTTTGTTTGGTGAAAGTATTAAGCTGTCGCGGCCTGTCTTAGTGATATATTCGATTGTGAATGATAGTCGTCGCTTGGTTTTTTTCTCTTGTCAGCGACTTGTAGATCGGTTTTATGTTTAACTAGAACGAGAAGAAAATGATTTTATTGACTTTCAGTTTTGTTGTATAAGTTGTTCGTGTGTGTTTGCTGTGTCCGGTTTTTAAAGAGTTGAGAGAATGGTGGGTGTGGAATTTTTGTTTAGTTGTTGTGGACTTGAGGTGAAACATTCTGTACTGTCGTATTTTTTTTGTAGTCGGATAATGTAGAATGATTTTAGTTACGGTCGGGGAAAAATTTTATTGATGCGGGAATCGTGGATGTTTCTGAGGAAGGAAAGCAATAATCATTCGTTTAGGATAGTGTAGGAAGCCGTTGCGTTTTGTGAGAAGTATCTTAAAGTGTGAAGCTCTTGCGTGAAATAGGGATCGATGTGAGAATTGAGTTTTTGTTCGTATCTTGCCGGGAAGTAGAGTGTTTTTCGGAGATTTGTCTGAGTTCGTGTTTTAGCGGTTTTTTGAACATGTTATTTCCTGTATTGCAGATGGCGTTCGAGTATGTTATTTGGCTTTACATTTATTCAGCTTGCATTTTTTTTGAAGTTTCACTTGAGTTTGTTGCAGGTTGATAATGAGTATTATCGGTCTTCTGTCATTATTAGAAGTTATTAAAATTTGTAATGTAGCTGATGTAGTTAGGTACTGTCAAGCAAGATAAACACTTATATTGTAGTCAGAGGATATAAAAAATTGGTTGTATTTTTGGAAGCATGGTTGCTTAAGATTTCTGTTTATTGTGGAAGGTTATTGTTTGACATGTTTGCGAGTTAATTATGATTGTTCGTTTTTTATGCTTTCGTTTCTTTTTTATTAGCATTATAAATTATGGTTGTCTTCGTACTTAGGAATATGCGTTGAAATATCTGCTGACACATGTCTTTATGCACAAAAAATAGACTGTATGTTGAACTCTTATGGTTTCAAAGTTGAGTGTGCTTCAATATGTTTTGAGTAGTTCGAGAACGCAAGTAGGCAGGGACCTGCTTTTTCTACGAATCAAGGAAGAAGACTGGGGCATCTCCTTTTCTCTGATAATGTATAAGAGGAAACACTTTTAAAAATAGTTGTTTCTGAGATACGTAGTAAAAAAGGCACGAAAATGACTTGTCATCCCAGTAATATTTTGATTTTATCTTTTGGTTTATATACACAGACTTCAAGATTATCAGCGAAGATACAATGCATATTGATTCTCAAGTCACATTTAAACATGGATCAAATTGTATCATATATTAATATAAACAAATAGTAAGGATTTTTAACTAAATTTTACTGTTTTTTTTCTCATTTTTTCTCATTGCATCTTAACGTGTCAATGGATATGTGCTGAAAAATAAGAAAGTGCATTACATCTTGAACTATCAGTTTGAAGTCCCTCTATCGAAAGCAAAGGTGAAAGGCGAAATTTTGTTACGGATGACAGGTCATTGTTACACCTTTTCTAAATGTTCTTCCAAAATAATTAGTTTTTGTAAGTATTTCCTGTTATGGATTATCGGATAAAAAAGATTTGCTCCAGTCTCCTTGTGCGATACGCGAAAAACGCATTCTCTAGCTACTTATATCTTCGAATTATTTTAAAATTAGCAAAACACATTCCATTTGGAAATGGATACTAGTGATAAGCATCTTTACTGAATCGATTGTATATATCATAAGTATTTTCTATGAGAAAGAATTACGGCTGTTCAACGATGTTTTATGCGAGCAGATGAAACACGAATATTTTAATATATGAATAATAATAATATATGTTTAATATTTTTAAACATTGTTCAAAGAAGCGCATTATTTATTATCAGCGTTGAACAAGTAACCTGAAGACTTGTCTTTCTTTCTAACAATTTTATCGATATTTATAACATATATAGATTTAGTATTTTTATCAGCAAATGATATTTCTCACAGACTCTTTTAAGCTTGACGAAAATCTGCGAGAAACTTGATTCTATTATTTCTTCAGAATTCAATTTTTTAAGCTAACTAGTTTCTAGTTTGAGCATTATTAGATAACTCTTTTCAATGCTGAGGATTTCAGATGAATCGAAAACAAAGCAAGTAAGTATAGTTTCGAACTTTCAAATAATACTCAAACTGGTTAAAGAGATTTCACTAAATTACAGTGTATGTGTATATTTATTATTAAACAACTATGAATATTCTAATTCCACATATACCTTAAAACAGACAAAAATAAATCGAATGGGAATATGTGCTTTTTTTCTCTAAATATAATCAATTCATATGATATTATTAATATAAGATATATTTATAGAAAAAAAAATATTCAGAATATATTTCACCATTTTGTAAAAAACAAACCGTCGTTTTTCATCAATCAATGAATGTCATTTCTATGAAGCACGATCTGAAGACAATATTAAAGTGACTGTGTTGAAGATTAGAACCTCCCATTTTCTCCCATCATGTTCTCAAACCATAGCAGATCGACTTCAAAGACCATTACATACTAGTATAGAGCGGTTTCAGAGGCATAAAAAAGCATGATAGGCATTACTGACGTACGATTAAAAACTTTTCTCAATAAGATCCTAATCCAATAGATGAACTATATTCTTACAATACTTCTTGAAGATAAAGTAAAGAGTTGCAAGAATTTTATCAAAAGTAGATATAAGCAAATGATTTCTAACTAATTGGCAAATATGTCTACATCACATTTCACTTTTTATCTCATAGGGATTGGGCTAAAAATGTTTTCTTTACTATTTAATATAAGCTTAAGCGAATGGTTTTATCATATTGAGATATATAAATCACCGGTTATTTGTGCTAATACTTTTCTGTTATCTTTAATTGGTGAATTTCTTTCACCGATAAAGATGTAAAAGATTGAACAAAACTTTTAAATTCTCCTTTTGAATATTGATGATCTTATTTCAGTAGCTTTTGTTTCCTTGAACATTCAAAGTCAATACTATTTTTATTGTTTTTCTTTGTTGAAAATTTTCAATTAACTATTTAAAACAGTTAATATAGCACAACCAAGAAATAATTATTGAATTATAAATAAATTTATTGGAAAAGAGCTAAAAATGTTTGGATATTTTCTTGGACTTTTGTAGAAAATAAATGAAAGTATTCGTTTAAAAAAACAAAGTTTTGATTCTTCGAAAAATCGTTTATTTAGTTTATTCGAGTATTTCGTGAAAACATTGAAATTTCCTACAAATAAAAGACTGTCGATATAAAAGCAATGCGAGATATTTAAAAAAAACTTACAAGAACGATCAATATGTATTGGATTTTTTAACAGTTTCATTGAATCTTTTATATCTATATTATTAAAACGAAAATAATAAAAGAACTTTCTATAATAACAACTAAACATTGATTACTGATATAAAGTTTATAAATCAATACTATGATCATGTCATAGTTAAAAGCAAAGGGATAACCATCCTTTTTTTTCTTGTAAAGACTCAGAATATTCTTTTGAAGGACATGCAATTTTATTAATATGGATTTTTCGTTTTCTTAACTTTATGTAAAAAATAACTTTTCTTCGATACGTTATTTGCTTCTGGATTTATTTTTATTCTGTGAGTGATGAATACTAAAGAAATTATTTTTCAAGTTTTTCAACAATTATCTATTTTTCATTCCAATAAAATACGTCATCATCTAAACGGTCAGGTATCGTAAAATCAATATTAATGAATAGGAAATGACCTTCTTATAACTATACCAGTAGTCTTGCTTTACCAATGATGTGTATATTGAATGTTACACATGAGCAACGTCAAAACTTGTGACTAGGTTTCAGAAAACGAAATTCCGCAGTTTGAGATCTATAGTCTGAATTTTCAAGTTTGAAAACTAACAACTCTGATCAAACTGTCTTGATAAGTTCAATATTGAACAAAAGTTGAAAATTTTCATCAGCAATTCCTTACAAATCTATGTTCTATAGCAACTCCTCGATCCTTTTCAACATCGCACTTACGAAAAAAAATGCTTAATATATTTCCGAATCATCAAAAACTTCGGCTCATAATGCCTTCATAAGGCTTCGAGTATTCACAAACTGATGCTACGCTTTATAGTATTGTGATCAAATATCTCTTGCAACAAACATTGTCTTTATAATGTGTCCTAGCATATGTTTAAATGAGAAAAAAAAATATCCGAAATCGGTTTAGGTATTGGTCTAACTTTATGACCAACAATATTAAACTAGAAAAATTTACAAATCATCTCATATTTATAGGAAAATGAAGATTGTAAAATAAAATATGTTATGCAAATAACTATGAGTTTTAAAAATTGACTTCTGCTATCTAAGAGTCGTTTCAAGAATAATTTCGTGTTTTGTTCGTAATCTATCAAACTGTCTTAATATAGAAAATACTGAATTTTACATGAAAGAATCCATGAAGCTTTTAGTGTCACTATTACAATATCCTTAAAAGATATTTTTCGATTTTATTGAGAATTCAAATCATAATAGGAATTCTATTCGTTCGATTCTATACTATTTGCCATATTGAGAATATAACAGTGCAACTTTGATATCGGTACGGAGTGTGAATGTATTGATATTCCTAACTAAAACCTAACATCCACACTTTTGACCATTTTCAAGATTTGATTCAGCTCTTACAAACATTAATCATTGAATATGATGAGAAGATAAAAAGAAAATTTTTATTTTTATCGAATGTATCATTTATTCGATAGTCTTGATGACGTTTTTTTTTCATATATTTAGTTATTAAATTTATTGTAGTGATGAAATATTCAATTCTATTTAATATGAGACTAATCACTTAATAAAATGTTTTCTGAAGTCAATCTCTCTACGAAAAATCGATAAGGATATTACATAAGAAACAGATACTCGTCATCTTAATGAAAACAAAGTATTTTATGCATTCAAAATTCATTCTACTACAACTTAGGTTTATATAAGACTGAAAGACAAAATAATATCTGTAAATAAATTTAAAATGTTAAAGATCAATTTCATATATTCAATGATGACGTAGTCTAATTGACCGAACTAAACAATGTATATAATCAATATCTGAATATCAATAATTTATTCTGTGATTTTTCTTTCAGTATCGTCAAAATTACTCTGAAATTTATAAGCATAAAACACTTCATCGTTAACAATCATCATTATTGTAATCTTTAACCTTCTGGATACGGCTGGTCGACATCAGAGTCAAGATCTTTATCTCGATGTTAATTATAGGAATCTGTTCTAATTTATGTTTTTTTAAATACATTTATATGTGGAGAGAAGAATCGAGCAGTACATGAGAACTAGAGTTTCACTTCATTAACACAGGTTCTGGGATCGTTCAATAAAAAATTCATAGATTTTATGCAAAATTGTGTCTCATTTTTCTCATGTCATATGTGAAGAACGAAAAACAGCTAAAACTAACCTGTCTATTAGTCTTATATATTTTTTTTTAGAAATCTTATTATATCGATTCATCTAAGGTTAATTATTGTTTTAGAGATGATGCCATTGAGAAGAAAAAGCACATCTCTGGAGAATATTTGTTGAGTTTATGTAAGATTGCGTAGAACTTTTGTTATTAAAGATTTTTTCTATGAATTACTAATAATCAAATATATAAATTTTAGAGAGAATTACTTCTTTTCTCAAAATGATATTATTTTTGACAATCAATATTTGAGTACTAGATTTGGTTTTGAACCTGTTATAATTCTTAACTGATAAAAATTCAAGATTCTACTAAATCCTTGTTTTCAAGTGATATTGACATTAGTGACAACTTTTTCAACATACTTGTAGGTTATAATGTTTATGCCTCTTCGAATGTTTTTTATCTAAATGGTTTTATTTCGAAATAGTGTAAAATATTTCCAATAACAAAACTAGGAAATAACTAAGAAATGTGAATAATCTAGAACTGTTCAATTGAGTTTATCTGACTAGTTCAAAGAATTTTTCTTAAAAATCAAAAACCTGAAAAATAATTCACTAATAGACTCATTGTTAAGTAATAAATAGAAACAACTGTAAAAGAAATTCATTTTCTTTTTTTCTCAATTAGCTTCAACAAAGCATCAAGAGGAAACATTATCTTCTAATCGATTGTCTCTATTTGCTTTCTCACAGACGAATGCGAAGTAAATCTATAAAGTGTACCTTAAAAATAACATTAAAAAAATTTATTTATTCATTAGCTGATTAAATCAAATTAACATTTACTCCTGAATGATAATCAAAAATCTAGTTTTAATTTTCAAATACATATAAGGTAGTTCGCACAATAAGAAATACTATTCTGATTTGACTATTAGAAAAAATGAGAAAGGAGTTCGATTAAAACCTGTCCAATAGTTTGGACAAATAAAAACAAATTTTTCTTATTCTTTTTTAATGAGTACGCAAACATACACTCTCAACATGTTTTATTAGTTTAAATATAAAACTATCAAAGTATATTTCATTCAGTAAAAAACAACTAATGAAGAACTGTCTGCCCAATTGCAAAGATTTCAAGTTAAATCTCTAATTATGTCAACATTGGCACTATCAACGATTTTCTAAGGCAATCGTTTTTCTATCCCTCATGGCTGCAACATAACAATTTTTCCACATTCTTGTCAGATTTAAAAATCTTTCATATATTGAACATTTTCACAAGCTTTTCTCTACAAATATGTGCTTATATATTTTTTACAAAAATATGAATCTCTTCGATTTTCTTTTAAAACTGATTGACGCCTAAGTTAAATACACACAAAAAAAAACAAGTAAAAAATTGATTTTCAAGAAATCTATATTCTACAGTCTTCTCTTCTGAAATTTAAACATCATACCATATCTTTTAGTCCACGTAATGAAAATCAAAATAAGATTGGTGTTAAATTATTGATTTTAATAACATTAAAATTTTATGATATAGATTGTGTACAAATATATACTAATGTTACTGTGGATATATGATTGAATCTATATATATATATGATCTATCTGTAGGTGAGGAGATTAGATTCTCAGTAATTTGCTTTTGAACATAGAAGGTCTTGATATTTGCACAGGTACTTATAGATCGTAGTCTACATTACTATGGGCAAATAGTTAACTAACCAGCGATGAAAAAGATCCTTCTTAAGTACTAGTTCATTTTTGATATGCGCGAACATCTTTCTGATTTTGTGTTCAAGAATGCTCTATCAGACCTTGCCTCTCGATGGAAATAATTGTCTCAAAGAGCATTAAAAATATATCTTCTAATATAAACAATATCGTGATAACTTGAAGAAGGTTCAAGTCTAGATATTAAACCATGTTTGGGACAATGCTACTATTCGTTACTCAGTGTTAGAGCTAAGGCTTTTCCAAATATTGTTTTCGAGATATTCATAGAGTCAATACCTCAGATCATTTATAAACATCAGTTCATGTAAGTTTATTTTGAAGATTAAGTCATTCAAATCTCGAAAGCTTTTATCGACCCCTTATGATTTTTATATTCGAATTCGACTGTATATGTTAAGTCGCTATTTTTTTAAACTTTTCGATCAATTCATTAGAAACGAATATCAAACTGTTTTCGATTACGCTTGTAGAGAATATGGTGATGAGTCTAAGCCCAAAAAAATCAACAATATTAAGTGAACTCATATCCAAACAAACGTCCGAGTCTTTTTTCGAGCCTTTCACTTTGTTCTGTTGTAACAGATGAAATTTTAGTAATGCCTCAGATTATAATCATCAAGAAGAAATAACGAACCGATTCTGAATGAACTTTTTAAAAATACTTTTCAATTTATATATATATATAAAATAGTTTCCAATAAAATGATTAGCTCTCAATAAATTATCTTTTAAGTAGTTTTTCAAAATTTCTTTCAATTACTACTCATTTTATTGACACTTTTTCAAAAAATATCTTGTGAAATTCTCTACAAATGTCAAACAAGAATATCTTCAAACGTATCAGTGGAAAACTATATTTGATTATTGGTGTTATGTCCGAAAAAATTTCGCTCTCAACGTGGCTTTGTTTTTAAATTCATTCTTTCTCCTTCGATTAAACAGACTTCAGATTATTGTAAAATAGGCTTCCTATGATACTAAGTAGGTTGTTTCTAATAGAATTTAGAAAAGATGTTCAAGCAATTTTGTGACACTTCTCAAAGTCAGCCTTTTCGAGATTATAGATTGAAGCCAATGATTGCTTTTGTTACTTACACCACTCACCGTAGAAAAAAAGTTTCCACAAGTTCTCCCTTGTCTCAAATGTAGATAAAAAGAATATATTCCTTCAACATAGTAATGAACTTGAAGCCGTATAAAACTGAAAATCCTGTTTAACTAAATCAAAATTTTAGGGAGTTTGTATTGACGATTCTTAAAATTTAAATAAAGGAACACTTACAAGATGTTTTCTTTGGAAAGGTATGTGGAATGGAAAAAATACTCTTTCAACTGATAAAACTTTTCGTGGTCTACAAAATGTAATATTTGAATTTTTTTTCTTCATTAATAAATAACAATGGAAAATTGAAACAATAAGAAAGCAAACTGCGAAATGAGCATAACGAGAGTTTAGTATTACTAGTCAGATATAATTAGTTTTCCATTTATCTTATTGAAGGGATACTGCTAAGCGGTTTTGTAAAGAATATTATGCACTATGAATTGAAAAAATATGTGCGTCAAATTGTCAACAAGTGGATCAATGTCTGAAATATTTAAAAGGTGATTCTTTTAATAGGTTGCCTATTCGATTCTGTACATGCATTTTCAAGATTGTTCATACATATTTTAACCGATAAAACACGGGCTAACATTTGTATAGGAAAGTTTGATTAGCTAGATAAACTATTATTTCTTAACTATGACAGTACATATGGAACTTCAACCTATTTATGTGACGGAATTTCAATATTGTCAATTACTATAATCTTAATACAGCATATCGAATGAAAATAATATTTTATGAAATATTATTATTATATTGTAAGTGTGATTAGAAAGAATATTTTCTTGCTTACGTGAAAATCGTTGTTGAAGTAGCAAGTGAATCAAATATTTCTTTGTCTTGCGATTGAATTCAACGCTTTTAACCCGAAAGCAAACACCTGGTGTAATAAGTTCTTCTTCTTCTTCAGAATACTCAGATAATGGACTGAGATCAGCAATAAAGGCATACATCACTTCCATAATGAATAATGTGTTTCCAAATTCTTCGGCTTTTTTACGATTGCGACTACAAGATGTATAGGCTTGAAATGACCCAAATGCCTCTTTATCTTTGGCCATAGCTTCATATTTAGCGATCTGTTCTTTCGTCAGTTCGGCTCCTCGATAAAGTGTCTTTTTAATTGTCACTTTTTGATTAAATGGATCATCCCAGAGTAGTAAACAGAATGGACCTAATGTACGAACTTTACTTCGCCATACTTGTTCATGTCCTTTATCTCCAACTAATCTCATTGCTGCATTCAATGTTTTGTAGAGGAAACTTTCCAATGTGTAAAGATAAACACAAAGTTTCCATACTTCCTCCATACCAGCGTTCTTCTTTTCTCTTAGCATTTTAGCTAATTTTTCGGCTTCTCGTTGTTTTCCAATATGTTTTCCTTCTTCAACGATACCGCAAGCAGCTTTTTCAATAAGCATCGGAATCATGTTTGGCTTTTTTGAAGGTAAATCATCTGGTTGAAGTTTCAGGTCTCTTCTGACTTCGATGACAAAGGGACTTGTCCAACCGTATTGACCACCAAACGAACGTTCAGTACTAACAGGAAGGTCCATAAAACGTGTTTCTCGTAGATGTTTGTCTTGTCGCTCGCGCACGACTCGTTCTATTGGTCTTTGCCTATAATCATCAGTATTCGATATTTGCAGATTACTTTCGAAATCAATATAATAATCATCCAATAAAGCTCGTTGTTGTTTGCTTTGAAATGCTTCTTCGATGATTAAATTTTCTAAATCCGAATAATGATTCCATATGGTTGGCTCGGATGACGAAAATGAATTTGGATTTGCTTTCCACATCCATTCAACATGTTTTAAAGAATTGTTTGGTGTTGCAGATGCATAGGAGGCCATAATAAACAATGCTTTTCTCTTGTTTTCAATATGGTAGATCGCTTTATTAACTAACTATTATTTTTATCTGAAAGCGTGAAAACAAACAATGATAATTGAAAAATAATAGAATAAGGAAAACCTCACTCTTGAAGTCTTGTTAAATATTGAATTTTTGTAAAACTCTTTCAAGTCAGAGAAAATATTCTGAAATCATCGGAAGGTTCTTTATGTTTCCAAGAAAAAAATGACGAAAATCTACATATTTAGAATTCTTAAAATCCGTTGTTCTCTTCTTCTAATTGAGTATATTCTACTTATTGTCCTTCTTCATCATTTTTTTTCCAAAATTTTAAATAAATAAATCAAATAAGACTTTTCTCATATATTTTTGGAAGAGTATGAAATTCGAGCAATATTTGGAATAATCATTATTATTTAAATTTATTCTTGGTTTTTTTATCGAAGAATCTTTTCAGATCATTAATGTTATTCAATAGAATAACACAATATTAATAAATAGATGTTGATTACACAATGCAAAACAATATATAGATAAGTTTTTTTTATCAATTATCAAGGAAAGATTGTTTTCAACTTTTTATTCTTATGTATTTGAAATTTTATTTTCATTCAGATGTAGTCTAACGAATGAATCGCAAAAGTTTAAAACAAAATATTTGGTAATTTCTAGTTTGGTTGGACTCTTCGCAGAACAATTAACATTGTTGATTTGGATATTGAATTCAATGGTCTTCGAAATATGAGCTTCACTATTATTTTATAAGATTTTCTTCAAGAATAAAAAAGTAATCTTTAGAAGAATTCGAAAAAACAACATTTTAAGTGAAAAATTTTGCTGTGTATGTTCATATTTTCCTTATTGAGACTTGAAATCTCAAGAAAGAATGTTCACATTAGCGACGTGCGCATTGGTAATTAAAGGAACTTTTGATCGTCACATTTTCGTCTTATTTGTTGCTCTATGATATTTCGTATAAGCAACGTTTCATTGCTTCATATTCATGTGAGAAGAGCAATATAAAGTCGAAACTATCGTGATGTATCATTTAATTAGAGAAGACACGGTCATGCCAAAAACGATCTTCAACAGTGATGGTACACTTGATATAAAAATCGGCGTCTATTGGGCAACAAGAAACTGTGTATCTTTTCCTTAGAATAGAAAAACAAAAACATCTGTATTATAATCTTTTTTTCTGCCTGCTACGATAATACTACTGTTATAATATGCTTGCCTTTTGCCTATAGTGCGATGCAAGGTTTCTGTGCTGTAATATATGCTTACTTTTGCATGCACTGTGTGGTAAATTTTGAGAAAAGTAAAGAACGTCATTTTTATTCCTTATATTTGGCAAAGCGGATTCATGAGGAAAAGTCCACGATACTGTGCGAAAATAAAGTACGAACCATAAGCAAGATGTTCACGAAAAATATATGATAACACCGTTAACTTGCCAGAAGATATCGAAAAAACAAAACCATCTGTTAAATGTACGATTATTTTTGAATATCGATGTACATATTGTTCAAACAGTGGAAAGCCATTAGTTAGTTTCGATTATTTTTTGGGCCTACGATTAACTTGCGACCATTTTTCATAGAAACTATACTGATATAGCATAAAATACTGACAATTAATCGGATGATAATGGGCTCGCCGCTCGTCCCGGTCATTATTAAAATTAACTACACCATTAACGACGATTAGCTCTCGTTTTCGCTGCTGCTTTACTGTGGGTTCAATGCAAAATAGCCGCAGTTAACTATCGGCCGAAAAGAAAAGAATAACCGTAACTAATCAACGGGTGAATATGGGTATGAATGAAAAGAACTCTTATTAAAAACCTGAATCTACATTCACATGGCACACAAACACCTACCCCCCAGAGAAACTCACAGTGATAACTATCGATTTTAGACATAAGAGCAACTTCAGTGCAAACCATTATGTTGAGGTTTTCGATGACTACCGTTCTAATATCATGGTGTATTTCATTACAAACTACGGTATTGAGTACCGTGATCTCTACTGCTCTCATATACCAAAGCATCTTCATATATTACGGCAGTATGTGTTACCTTTGTGGCTAACAGTTTTATAAACAGCGAAGAACTTTGCTTATTCGATCTGACGAAATATTAATAACGTCTAATAATCGTTTTCAAGTTACTGTTTTCTATTCATACCGATTTGCAGTGGATTGTGACTAATTTATTGAAATAAGAAAAGATTAAATTCACGGAAATCTGTTTTGTAGAAAACTGCTGTAAACAACGGTTTTTTGGGATTTTAAAGTGGTATTACTCAGGATAATTACGGTTTCGTCATGATAAGCATGGTTAGGCATAACTTTCTTGTATATTCGTTTATGAAAACCATAGTATTAAATGTTGCACTAGTTGTCAGTTATACAGAGTGCACTATGCTCGTTGACAGCCGCGATCCAATGCAGGACAAAACACCATAGCTAACTATTCAGTTTCGACAGGTCGACCATTACAATATAGTTTCATAATTATCTAAGACGCCTCAGCATAATTGCTAATGATATCGGGAAGCATTCCTAAGATATTTCAGATTTTCTACGACATCATTTTTGAGTTTAATAGAAATCATGAGCACTAATTAGTTCATTCTACGTAGTACTTTATTTGTAAATTAAGCATCGCAGTGTTTAAGGTATGTGCTTAACGCGGTATGTCCACAAAGAACCCTAGTATCAAGTATCGAAGTAAGTACCGATTTTATAAAGTTAAGTACCCTATGTTGTAGTTTTGCAAAGTATCAAAAGGCAGTAGTGCGGTTATTATTATGATAGTCATAATCCTGGCTATTAGTTTGTTTGTTTTCTTTTTGTAAAGAAAGCTTTCAATAAAACCATGCTATTTGATATTGATATACGCCTTATGCCTACTATTGTTTCTACAATTTGTACACCACGTATATAGAAGTATGATAGAATGTCGAAGAACGAAAAGAATTTTCAGGCTCAGTATTTCTCAGAAATTTTACATAAATTTTCTTATTTTATGTCTCACTGAAATGCGACTTTTCTGATGGAATTTGTGATACTTCGCCACATCTCGTATCAAAAGACCAGCCAGCTGCACTCTACGAAAATTTCAAGTAAGCTCGGTGATTCTGAGGCAGGTCTGCTGACTTAGATACGCTTGAAGACATTACTATGTGCCGTGATCCAAAAAAACTATGATTTTTACTGATTTTAAGTAATCACGACAGTCAGATTAGAAAACCAGATCATTTATTCATCTCTCTAGTAGAACCGACTGAAATCATAGCTTCGAAATATCATGGTTCTAAGTATGGATGTGGGTATGTTGGATTCGAAAAATAGAAGACTTATGTGCACAACCATACTCGCAGTTAAACCCGAACTCAAATCCATACTCACACTGGTATCCCGAACATTTTACTCTTGGAATAGAGATGACGAAAATCTTCGAAAAGTTTGGGAAAAAAGTCGGTGCCAGGTTAAAGTTTTTGCCTCTTATGTACATCTAACGACAGACTATCTTCCGATGCATTTATCTCAACTTTGAAATTTCTGATGCAGATTGACATTTTCTTTACGCAGAGGTCTTAAGTTCAACTGTTTGTGTTAGGGAATTTCGCATGGCTTCAATTCTCTATTACGGACAAAGGATTTAATAGCCCAACACATATAATAGACTAGCCATACCAATGCTCTGATTGGTCTCAGCAACAGTATGCTTTGCCAATACTGAAGTAAAGAAAAGTTCCGCTGAAACCTGATTGACTGGGAGATTTTTCTTTCAACGCATCCTATTTAGGAAAAGCTTCTTTACTACTGTAACGGTCAGAAATAGTATTATCAACACCGATTCGAAGGCTTTGCGAGGTTCTATTTCATATTATCCGAACGACGCCATATTTAGTCCTTACCACGGTAGAGAAAATAATTACTAAAATCTGACTGATGTTGATGAGAAGCAAGCGATTGCTTATTTTGTTGTCCATCCAAAAGTTAGTATTGTTCAAGTCACATACAAAAGCGACCCTATCGAAACCCTGCGATCAACATAGAGAATACTATGTTTTTTCCGCTGCTACGAAAAACAGAGACCTTTATTGAAGTTCGATTGTTCAAGGTACACTTGGCATTATTTGTAAAAATCTCTTCTCCATGAGAACGATTTACAATGGATTAGAATAGCTAAGGTTGGCTCAAAATGACTCAAATTATTCCAATGAGATCTCTTTCTTGAGACAATCTCTTGATATTACAATGACGCTAAGATAGCTTTGAAAAGACTCATATATATGATGCTCATACATAGCTTACAAAATTATAAGTACAATGCTCACAGAACTTTAGACCCTTGATACGCTCTAATATTCCTTAAAGCCATGATATCCCTACATAACCTTTTAAGAGTTACACTGGAACTAATTCAGCAATTATAATTTTTCTCAGCATTATATAATCTCTTGCTATTGTAATTCATAAAACATGAATTGAGTATGATTGGTACAATGTGCATGCGTAAGAGAGCTTCTAATTTGGAGTTCACGCATTTTGAAGTACACTTTTATTAAACTAGAAAAGTTCGTTTGACTTAGCGCATTCTACACTACTGCCGTTGAGTGTGAACCTGAATGATTGGTTCTCATGCTAATGTAGATATGTACAAGGAGCCTTGATGATTGAAGGGTCTCTATGAATTGGGTGCTCTTACTTGGTGTGAGTAATGAACTTTCACAAAAGAAGTAAGTGTAATACTCCGGCTTCATATATAATCTATCCCCTATCCTCGACTGAAATTTCTTTACCTCGTTCTTCTCCTATATGTACTTTGGAGCTACACCATTAGTTTGTTCTTCTCTCGTGCATAATGTTATCCGTAAAAGGAATAACCACAATATCCTTTTCTGTTCTGTATATCTACTTTGGAATGACATGCTTGGTATGTTCTCGTCTCGTACATAATAGTATCCATAAAAGAAATAATCATAA